ATTAATGTCCTCTTTATATTTTTGTTGTTTTTAGAAGGCGAATTATTGTTAACTGAAGATATTTTCATTTGTTAGGTGAATTAATGTTGACTTGGCATATATTTTGTTTGTTTGTTAGAAGGAGAACCGTTGTTAACTGAAGATAATTTATTTGTTATCTTGTTAAAAGGTGAATTATTGGTGTCTTTTTTTTTTTTTCCCGTGGATTCTTCTTACTCAAAACTCTATTGCATAAGAATTTCAGATTTGAGAGTATAGGACTTCAGTGTCGTAAGGCTAACACCATACATGTTTAAATTATATACTGCCTAAAAAAATTAAAATTAGTTTGAACTTTGTCATATGCGTGTAAATTCTACAACCTAAAACTTGGAATTAGTTTGAACTTTGTCATATTCGTTTAAGTTCTACTACCTAAAACTTGGAATTTTTGCGTTTTTAAAGTGAAGCCTAGTTAAGTTAAGACAAGTACTTCATATATAAGTGTATATATTCATTTATAATTTCTTTTCCGCAAACTCAAGGTCCTGATGCTGGTCAACGTGGCCACTTACTGAGGTCTAACTTGGTCTAACTACAGAGGCCTGAATGCACTCGCCGAGACCTACGCCGGCACTGATCTGGTCATTCTCGGTTTCCCTTGCAACCAGTTCAATTTGGTAAGTTGAGAAAGAGGGGGAGGAGAGAAGGGAGAGGAGGGAAGGGAGAGGAGGGAGGGGGGGAGAAAGGGATAGAGGGGGAGGGAAGGAGACTGGTGGGGAAGGGAAGGAGGGGGAGGGAGAAAGAGGGAAGGGAGAGAAAGAGAGAGGGGGAGGGAAGGGAAAGAGAGAGAAATAGAAGGAGGGAGAAAGAGAGGGGGAGGGGAGGGAGAGAGAGAGAGAAAGAGAATTAAAACGATGTACACGAACAACGCTCAACACAAAATTGCCCACATGCCTCCACGAGGGCAACTGAAGGCAAATCAGTTAAGAAACCACACTACAAAGGTTAAGATGGAATTTCAAACGTACCAAGAGGATGTTCTTATTGAGAGAGAGTGAGAGAGAGAGAGAGAGAGAGAGAGAGAGAGAGAGAGAGAAGAGAGAGAGAGAGAGAGAGGAGAGAGAGAGAGATTCTGTTTTTGAGGGAGAGGGAGGGGGGAAAGAATGTGCGTGCGTGCGTGCGTGTGTGTGTGTGTGTGTGTATACAAATGGTACCCCATAAAGACCACAATACTCTATGTGTGTGTGTCTGTGTGTGTGTGTATGTGTATACGTATGTGTGTGTGTGTGTGTGTGTGTGTGTGTGTGTGTGTGTGTATGTGTATTTGTGTGCCAAAAATGCCACCCCATAATGAGCACAATTCTCTGAATTTTCCAGCAAGAACCGAGTTCCACGGAGACCGAGATCCTCCAGGGCATCAAACACGTGCGCCCTGGAGGTGGCTTCGTGCCCCAGTTTGACCTCCTGGAAAAGGTCGAGGTCAACGGAAATAATCAAAATGACATCTGGAAGTGGATGACCGTAAGTTATTTTCGAGTTATTTGGAGTCCAATAAAGAAAGTTTGGACAGGTACATACGTAAGTGATTACATTATAATTGGAAGATGCATATGAACAAATCGATTTGTAGGGAAAGCAACACACACACACACACACACACACACACACACACCACACACACACACACACACACACACACACAACACACACACACACACACACACACATTATTATACTGTCGATAATTTAGCAATTATTAAGTCATCCCCATTAACCCAATGAAAAAAGGGGAACAGACTGAAATAGACCTTATCACCTCCACCTTTGATTCCCTTTTCCTTTCCCTCTTGTCTCATTTTTCCTTCCTTTCTCCAACTCCAACAGACCAACTGCGGCTTCACTCAAGACAGAATCGAAGAGGCATCGAATACGACTCCCTCAATGTCCACGACGTCCGCTGGAACTTCGAAAAATTCCTCTTCGGGCGAGACGGAAAACTATTCGTCCGTTACAGCCATTTGCAAACACCGGAAGGGATCTCGGATGACATCGATTACCTTCTGGCGCAATAGTTCTCCCCGTGGTGGACGCTCGTCGATTCGTTCGTTAGCGTAAGTGATTGTTATATGTAGCATAATGGTTTCTCTAAATGCCAAGGATTTTTTTTTTTTTTTTTTTTTTTTTTTTTTTTTTGAAAAGATGAGGGTTATGGTTTTCACTTAAGTAGGTCTATATACATTCTAACTTCTCAACTGAAGTTTGTTCAGATGAAACGGTCATTACATATATTTACTTGAAGGAAGAAAAAAGTGTTTCAATAACCATGCTTTCTTAATAATCAACAGAGTGGTTAATATCACATTCTCTTTTTGCAGTCGGCTGGAAGGCAGGGAGATCCACCGACCCGACATCACAGCCTGGTAACACCTTTCGAAGCAGACAATCTCTTTCTTACGGCTGAAAAATGAAGCTCTCGCCACAAACCTTTGTCGGTGGGTGTGGGTGGACGTCAACGTAGAGGGAAGTGGGCGGCTTTGAGTGCATTCACCGCCCACTCCTGTCGTTGTGTTGTACGAGAGAAGGCGTGTCTGTTCAAGGTGTTCCTCGGTGTGAAGAGTTCGGTGTCTCCCTCGTTAACAGCTGAGGAAAAAATGGCGATTTTGGCTAGTGTGTGTTTGATAATAAAGAACTTTAAAATCCTGGTTGTCTATTCATATTATGATTGGATCCTTGGAAGAGTTGGTAATATTTATTTATATGTTGATATCGCGATGGACTCCCGTGATAGTATTCTTGATAAGGCAAATTCTTAGGTATAGCATGACATAAATTATATTGAACATGTATTTTATGTCTATTACTATAAATCTATAGATTTGTATATCTCTGTCCATATGTATACATATCCATATGTATCCATATGTATATAAGTACACACACGCATATAGATTTACAACACACTGTGTATGTATATATATGTGGTGTGGCGTGTGTGTATGTGTGTGCATATATTATATATATATATATATATATATATATATTATATATATATATATAATATATATAAGTGTATATATATTATCTTTTATTATGGTAAGCCTTATTAAGCGGCACACTGAAAAAAAAATCGAGAATTATACACCAAACGGTATCAGTTCTGAACTAAAACAGCTAAGAAAGAAAGAAAGCTTTTTTTTATCAATAGATATTTAGTTCTTACAAACTTAGCTTAAACTTATTAAGAGAAGTTATCTATTACAAAGGCTACAAAAAGCTTCTAGAAAACTGAGGAATAGACGACGAACTTATAGAGAATTGAGGGCTTGCCGCTTGCAGGTTGATAAAAATTCAAGTAAAAATTTATGGAGAGGACGCGAAACTAGCGGTTACAATCTTGCATAAGACCGAAAGAGCCCCATTATCCCTGACACCAGTGTTCAATAAAAATCAGATAGGGAAAATTTAATGGAATTAAAAGAATGATCGAGCAGTCCGAAGTGTCAAGCCGCAACAGATAACCACACAGAACAATAATCAAAATGAGGCAGGATGGAAGAAAGAAACTTCTACAAGTAATATCCTCAAAAATTCACTTGCTTGCTTGCGAATGATCCCTTAGATGAAACTGCCGGAGCTATATGTTAAGCGGCAATTAAATATAAGCTTTGAGTTAAGGCTGCATCTAAGAGATTCAGATTATCCACGGAAGTAATTAGGACTCCATTAATCAGGAGACTTGGATGCTAAGGCAATAGCATTCTCGATCGACGCACAATATAGGATGCTAGGATTTAATTTCATGCCTCAAACAAGAGCAATAGTCAGGCTGTCAGCTGTTATTTGCCTGATTGAGAAGGAATATTAGTATAGAGAAGCATAATCGGCATTTACCGACATCTTATTAGTAATGCCTGGCCAAATATCGCTTGTGTCTAAAATAAAGAGCAATGGGCCAAGCACACTACCCTGAGGAACCCAGAAGACTCGGGAATATGAGCTCAAGTTACCATCAACATAATTAAAACTTTAACACATAGTGTGTGTATATATACGTATGTGTATATATGTATATGTATATACATATATATATGTGTGGCGTGTGTGTGTGTGTGTGTTTATATATATATATATATATATATATATATATATATATATATATATATATATATATAGATAGATATATATATCCCAGGGATACAACTTCAAATTTCTTTAGGGAGTCCAGAACTGTCTTATGTTACGTCGGCCTCTGGGTTCTTAGAGAATGTGCCGAATATTTGTGTATTCCTTTACTGTTTAATTCCAAAATTCCGTGAGACAAGGAAGACTCCTTAAAGGTTGAAAACTTACCGGCATTACACACTTATATAAGAGCATATAAGAGCAACAACAAGCAAAACCCTTTAAATTGAACCACTATAAATGTAAGCTTTAGAAAACAGTCTGATACAGAATAAGTAATTTGGTTTTACGGAGGGAAGGTCGTGTGTAGCAAATTTCTGTTTCCATGACTTTCAGAAATATTACAAGAAACAAAAAGGCTGAATAGATTGTGTATACTTATATTTTAACAGGCGTTTGAGAGAGTCACAAATGATACTTTTATGGAAATTAGATCTAGATAGAAGGAAAAGTAAACCCCTTGAATACATGAAAGACAAATTACCACAGTAATTAAGATAATTAATTTCTACCTTTGGTACCTATCTAAACATCACTGCAGACGACGCGAAAATGCAAAAAAAGGATAATTGATGACGTCTTATGCCAATGCCTTTTGAGGGACATCGATAATTTATTTATGTGGAATTATTTAAATGTAATGTAGTTTATTTCGGTGGCGAACCTTAAAAATCCCCCGATTCATTATACCCCAATATATGTTAGGGGGGACCCCAGTAGTGGACCATTTCAGATAAGGAAAAAATGGGAAGGAGGGGGAAAGGGGAAAGGGAAAATTGAAAACAAACTAGGGTAAGGGTGTCGTTGTTTTTGGGTGGGGTTGAGGTATTTTGACCTTGATCAAGTGTACCAAGAAGAACCCCTTTTGACCTGGCACCGAGAACGTCAGTGGATGTTAAATGAAGGTTTGGATTCCGATATTACTTCTTAATGGATTTTCTCATTTGGTAATTTAATTAATATCAGTCCTTATCCCATGATTAAGACAAAATTAGGCAATATCTTTCTATATCTTTATAGTCTAAATGTAAAGCTTCAACATATACAATAATTACTGTAGATGTACTTTGTAGGGATCCTAACCTAATTTTCGTTTTCTTTAGCTCTACAATGGTTTTCTTTCAGCACGATCTCCAACCTTCGTGTCAGACAGCAGTCGAATTGAGTTGTTGAAACGTTTTGGTGGGACGTTTCTGGACCTGGATATGATCACTCTTCGCTCCTTGCCCAGCTTCAGTAATTGGGTTGGATGGCATGCTTTAGTGCAGATAAATAATGCTGCCATGAACTTTGTTAAAGGCCATCCATCATTGCAAGTAAGACTATTCAGTAATGTAGATGAGAATATGCAGTAATCTTATTGATCTTATAAATATGTATTCTGAGATTATGTGAAATTATTCTAACCAGCAAACAAAATGACTGGTGCATGTTTCCATTTTCACACTATAAACATGGTACTGAATATACTAATGCACTTTCAGATGGTAGCTTCATCTATACCAAAAGTATTTGATCCCAAAAGCTGTTGTAGAATTGGACCATATCTCCTGTATGATGTTATGCACGAATTGTGTCCAGATGTCACCAATAGGCCCAACATTACGGAAACGGATGCGAAATGTGGTAACGTGACTATTTTTGCACGAATTCGCCTCTATCCCTTCTCGCCTTACACCGAGTTGGACTACATCTTCCAAAAGAAGAAGGGAAAGGCACTGAACTTCTTCACGAGCCAGAATGATCCTTATTTCCTGCATTTATACAGCTCCCATACCACGAAGATTAGAGTCCCTCTGGGGAATCTAACCCTACTGGGAGAGGCTGCCATGAGGAACTGCCCAAAAGTGTATAATGCCATTGTAAAGCATGGGTTGGAGCTGTGACTCTATTATGTATAGAAGTCTTAACCCTAGTCTTTCTTGCTCTCTTTAATACACACATATACATACACTTATGCATAAACACACGCAAGCATATTCTCACATACAACTGAAAATGAAAATAGAAAAATCATCTGCATGGGGTAGACGGAGTAAAATAGGAAGTACAAAGAATATATACATGGAAACCTAAGAAAAATAAAGTATAATAGATTTTTTAATGAAGTTTACTGAATATTTCCTGCATTACATTCTTCTTAAGAGTAAAAACATACAGTTAGAAAGCACAAGTTGCATTTGTCTTTCTGAGAATTCAACAGCAAGAAATATGAATACTAATGGAGAAAAACAACAGAATTAGGGTACAAGAAAACTTTATCCACAAAATGTACTTTGGAAATATAAAGTTCTTTTTCTATTGATAACACACAACACACACACACACACACACACACACACACACACACAGGTATATATATATGTATATATATATATACATATATGTATATATATATTTGTGTGTGTGTGCGCGCTCGCGTAAAGAGAGAGAGAGCGGTTTGTCACCAAGACGATGAAGAAACACAGTTAAATGCGCATGAATTATCATCTTTGCTTGGCAACCATGCCATTTTTTTTAATAAGAAAAAATGTCTGATATAATCCAAATGGAAGACTATGATATAGAAAATGGGAAGATGCTGAAAAGGACGGGGGACTGGTTCTAATTTTCTTTCACGAATAATCAGTAAGAGATGGGACGGGGAGAATTAGCTTTATGATTTCATCGAGTTAGCAGAATGTGATATTCCCTTTTTTAAACATTCATTATTGTTAAGGAAAAAAATGTAATATGCTTTATTTACGTTTCTGATTGGCTATCCAGCAGTGGGTTTGTGATTGGTCGTATAGCAGCGAGTTTTTGCTTAGTTGTCTCTTGTTTAAGCAAAGTATGGAAAAGAATAATTTGGCTGGTTATGTAATAATATCTTGGGCTAATACAAACGTCCGTAGTGATAATTAGACAATAATGTGAGGAATTGCAATAAAATACTGACTCTATGAGGGATCTGAGGATTAGGAGTGAAAAAAATCATAATTGAAGAGTTAGAAATTTACACCAGAAGGCAAGGGTGATATGGAGTAGCAACATACATGATATCAAGTGAAGACTGGAAGTAATATACAATCCCCACATAGAAAGGTTAAGTCGAGTGATTTAGCATTTAAAAAGGTGTAAGAGTCATTGAGGATATTTAAAACCACAGGAAATACGCTGAGAGAAGTGACACCTTAAAGAGAAGTAGTAGTGAGAACATCATTGTAATGCGATCGGCATAGTTTTATTTTGCTCAGAAGCGTGGCGCCATCTCAGAGCGGTCGACAGGTGACAGCCAATCATAAACCCGCTGCTTATCAGCCAATCAGAATCAGAATCGGCATACACACTGCAGGGCTTTCAAAGCGAATTGATAGATTATAAATATTTCTCTGATATCTCTAGCTGAGCGCCAAATATACCCCTTCTATTAGAAAATGAAGACAATTTCAAGTTTGTTTCAAATCCCCCCCCCCCCGCCGATAAGATCTTATTCCTCTACCTTGTTTTATTCACTATTTTCCATCTATGATTCATCATAACTATTTCATCTACGACTGATTTCAAGCTTCACAAGGTGCAACACAACTGGGTGGCTCAAGCGAAACCCGGCCTATCCGAATATTTGGACAGCGAATCAAAAATAAATAAATAGATAAATAAAAAAAAAAAAAAAAAATAAAAATATATATATATATATATATATATATATATATATATATATTATATATATATATATATAAGATAATACTAATGTACTTCAGTATACACCCTCAACGAGAGAATAAAATCAAGCCATCCCATAAGCCTTATTTGGACCGTGTATTCAGGCTTCACCGCATTAAAATCTTAATAGATGAAATAGATTTTTCTCCTGGAAATTCCTCCCACCTTAATAACCCAGGTGTTGGTAGTTATGCCAAAGAGACATTATTTTAGGACAAATCATATTCGATTTTAAGGTCAGGTCGAAGGATGGGAGTTACCTTGAAAAATTTCACTGTCACATATTGGCGACAGTGATGTTAAAAGAACAATACATATTTTTGATATTCCAATGTTTTCCCCGTGTGTGTGCGTGCATGCGTGTGTGTATGTATATGTATGTGTGCCACAACTGAAGAGACTGACGATGCCTCCAGTTTTCTCACTGTCTTCATTATTTCTCACCAGATCTTAGGACCTTAAGAACATTCATTACTCCACCGATTACTCTAATTACTCCCTTTTCGGGGGGGGGGGTGTTATTATAGTGTCTTGGTCTGTGTTGCTCTTTTATTTCACTTTCTTCACCTAGTATATGCAGATACATGCTTCTCCACCGCTCTGATCTTCCTACAGTTAAATACTGTGTCATTTTTTTCTTCAGATTTTTGGTTTTGTTTTCGGGATTTCATGTGAACTGACAGCCTAGGTGCCATCACTGTTTAATACAAAAAAGTAAGTTTATTTATTTATCTATTTTTACTAATCAGTGATATTTTTTCTTCGAATTCATGATGTCAGTGTGTAGGCCTATCCAGATTAAAAAAAAAAAAAATCCCTTGTGTATGACCAACATCGTAAAGGCTAATCTGATTTTCTCTTCTGAACTGCAGGAATGACATGAATGGGAAGTGTTACCAAGAATCCTAAATTACCAAGCGATACCAAGAATCACAAGAATCACAAAATACCAAGAATCTCAAAAAAAAGAAGAATCGTAAAATACCAACAATCCCTAAATGCCAAGAAACCCAAACATGGGAATCCCAAAATCGCCGTGCCAAATATGGATCACAGAGAGCGGATCCCGGACCAAAAATGGCTGCCGCTTTCTCCGAGCTTCCCTCCTGGTCTCCGCAGCTCTTGTGGTCTCGCTATTTTCCCTCTTGAGTCGATCTTACGGAAATTTCCTAGCTACCATGACGCCCGTGGAAGTGTCATATCCAGCCTGGGTCGAACACTTGTGCCCCAGGTACTACCATAGGGCAAGTCAGTCGACAGCTGGGCTCCTGAGGCTGACTTGTGTTAGATGTCAAAGGTTAAAAAACGTTATAGAATAATACAGTGAATAGGGGGATAGGGGAGCAAGTAAACTAGAGCAGAAATTAGCATAAAGGGGAGGGTAGGGCGATTGAGTGAATTATAGTGTATCTGTCACTGGAGAAGGTATAGGAAAAATGTTCAAGGCAGAATAGATAATTGTTGAAGAGTAAGAGAAAAATCCGGGGAGAGGGGATGGTGTTAAATATCAAAGATTAGAGGGTGTTACAGGAAAGTATGGTAATGAAAAGGGGAAAGGAGGGAAGTAAATGAAGTAGAGCAGTGATTAATAAATGGGAAAGGTTAAGGAGGCAGATCGATTAAATTAATTGTATTGTATCTGTGACTGGGGAAGGAATAGGGATAATAGGTGATAAGTTATATATGGTTGTATTAGTAGTAGGGGGTTAGGTATCTGGGGGTTGAGACAAAGGATCAGGAATAGGTGAAGGAGTAGTGTCTGGGGGTTCGATAGGTACAGTGGGGTCTGGGGAAGGATATTGTGATAAAAGAGATTCATGTGTATACCCAGGAGGGAGTGGGAGGGATAGTAGGGAAGGATGGGGTTTTGGGGGGAGGTTCAGTTTGGGTGGTATGGGCAGTTTAGGTGGTTGAGAGGATGAGGCATCATGGGAAGGGGTTGGGGGAACAAAAGGGGGCAGAGCAAATGAGTGAATTGCAGTGTATATGTGACTGGGGAAGGAATAGGGACACTGATCAAGGAAAACAGAGGTGGCTGTTGGAGAACTAGGAGGAGAAGAATCCAGGGGTTGAGAAAGAGAAGCACTAGGAAAAATGGAAAAATGTTTGGAGAGGAGGGGTCTGGGGAAGGACACTGTTGTGTTAGAGAGGATTCATGTGAGTATTCAAGTGGTAGAGAGGATGGTGTATGTTGGGAGGGTGTAGGAAGAAGAGGATGGAGGGAACTTGGGAAGGAGGAGGATGAACATCTGCAAATACTTTAAATGTAGTAGGAGTAGGAACAGAGGGATTGGGGGGTGGAGGAGGAAGTTTCTTTAGGAAGTTTCGGATGTCTTCAAGGGTTTCTGAAGGGGAATTTGGTATAGAGGACTGAGAAACAAAGGTTCCCGTATAAGGAGGAGAAGAGGAGATGGATATCTGAGGTACAGATGAAAAGGAAGGTGAAGGAGAGAATGTAGTAAGAGAGTGTGGAGTGGAAAGTTTAGGTTGTCTGGTATGACAACTAAAGTGAGGAGGAGGGGTAGGTATCTGGGAAGTGGTAGAGATTGGAGTATCTGGATTTAGGATGGAAAATGGATTTGTCTGGTGGATAGGGTGAGTAGACATAGGACGTAGGTTTTGGGTATTGGGAAAAGATACCTGGGTAAATGCAGAAATATCTTGTGTTGATGGTGAGGGAGCAGAGCACAGGACTGTTTTGGAATAAGTTGAGAGAGAAAAACCTTGTCGTCGTGCTTCCTGTCTGGTCTCTTATAGAGTGAGGCCTAGTTTAAATCTGAGGACTGCTACCTCACATTCAAACTTATAGGCAGGACAGCTCCTATAAAACACATTATGGGAGTCTCCACAATTGGCACATGTACGTGACTGAGCAGGGCAGTTTGAATGGTCATGACCAGGTTTTTGACATTGACGAGGAAGGGGTTGATATTGTTGGACATGATAAGACAATCCACCAATATAAACCTCATGGGGGAGGTCTAGTCTATGGAAGCTAATCTTGGCAATGTTGACATGAGATTTATGTTGGCCTCTAGGAGGAAGAGTGTAACACTGTACTGCCACTGCATCATATTCATCAAGGCAAGAAAGTAGGACATTTTCACAGTTTCACCAGTCCTTGTTATACATGGGACAAGCATTTGGGGGAATGGAAACAGTTCCAGTACAAGTATTAAGAGTTGGGTGAGGTTCGGCAGGAATGGTTTTGCCAGTAAGGTCAGTTAGGGCAGATAGTGTACGAGCTTGAGCTTCAAATGTAAACATGACAAGGTGCGAATGATCAGAGCGACTGCGAAAGCTAACCTTGCCTACTTGTTTCTGGAGGCACTGCTGAAAGAGAAGGGTATTCTCAGAATAGGGAGCTGTGGGGGAATTACAAAGAATCGATCCCACTTGGCTGGGCCAAATAGAGTACCCAGAAAGTTTGCAGAGGTAGAAGGACGAGGGCGAGAGGAAGATGGGGTGGTGTGGAGTGGAGTAGTTCTGCCGGGGGGAGGACAATAAGGATGAAGGGTAGTAATAAGGGAAGAGGGGGTTGACATTGAAGAGGGTCGTGCAGTAGGGGATGAAGAGAATATTGGGGATGAGGAAAAGGTATTTTCCAGGGGTTGAGTAATAACCTAAGTGGGTGTTTCAGAATGGTTAGAGTTGTTTGTAAGTGTCTAAGAGGGGGAATTATCATCAGTGGTCGGAACTGTGATCAAAGGAGGGGCAAGGGTTGGAAAACCATCAAAGTCAAATTCAGATAGGCTACTCGATGAAGGGGCAAGCCTTAATGCCTCTATCAAGGGTCAGGAATCTTCATTACTGGCCATGGTGAGCCTGAATAAACTGGGGAACAGAAATGGTCTACCCCTTAAGGTCCCCATAAGGAGTAAGGGCTCTGTAATTAACCAAGGGAATACCGTGCCCATGGCTCACGGAGGCTGTTTGTGACTGACACAAAGCCAGCCTTTCATCCTTTCAGCAGGGCTCTCACACCTTAGGAATGGGATAGAAGAAGGGAATAAAGAAGATACGGAAGAGGAAAGAAGAGAAGAAAGGACCAAGCAAAATTAGTTGAGGCAAGGGCTGAGGCCCAAGGTAGGGGTAATCCTCTACATTGGGTCTCAATCTCCATCTCCTAAACCCTTCCACGACAACAACAAGCTAAGTTTTGTGAGGGTCATTACACTAAAAAGTCTTTCCAATAATATCGTTAAAAGACACAGAATTACTGTCTTAGATAACCTTATGTTGCTTACAGCCCCATAAAATAAGAAAGTTGGAAAACAAGACAAATTTGCAGAGTAACATAATTTATTTTGTCTCTCACAATGTATAATACAATGAAGAAGGAATGAAAATTCATATAATAAGGCAGCAGGAGAATCATTATCTGAGAGTGTGATTCAGTATGTGATTGCAAAATGTGTTTAAGTACAGGATATTAAATCACAATTTCAAACCATAAAACGAAAGCAAAATCAATGCTAAGTGAATACAGGGATGAAAGGATGATGAATGGAAGAGTAAAATTCATGCTTTATTTCAGGTGAATATGATCTTTGGTAGAGGGTGAAGAGAAAAAAGGAATGATGCAGATTACTATATATAGAATGGATAATTAAAATATATAATGCACACTTCTTATTTGCTACAAACATCTCTGTATTACATGAATTTTGCCACATTATGAGGAAGGCTTGGCAGTTTAATTGATACAGTAACATACAATGCATTGAGATATTTTGTCCAAATATCAAATTTGTTTTTACTGGATCTATGTCACAAAATGTATATAATCATATATTCACCTAAGCAGATCCTCTTGATTTTTATATCAGAAAAACATTTTCAAGTTTACTAAAAGCTTCAATGATTACATCCTTTTTAAAACAAGAATGGAAAATGCTTTAGTATTTTTTATATATTTTGTTTGGTGGAAGATGAGGAAACAAGGATATATTAATAAGTACCCATGCCATCTTTACAGCTTCTTCAACAGCAACAAAAAAAAACATGAACAATTTCTGTCTTACACAGTCCATAACATAACTTGATATATGTTCACACCAAACAACATTACTAACTGCATATCCAGAAATATAAAGCATGTAGACAAATAAACTTGAGGAAAGAAGAGCTGTATTAACAAGCTTCTGTGTTGAAAATAGCACAGATAGAAAGGTATATAAAATACATGTTTCTACAAAGTTCCGATTCATAAGAATCAAGTGATAATCAAAGTATAAAATATCTGTTAACTATATAAAAATACAAAATACTATTTGCAAAATTCTTTGTTCTTTGGCATTTTGCTTGCATGAATAACTGTCTATGTTTGTATGACCTGCAATGTAATATAGTTTTGCTTACATTTCCCTTCAAAAATGGGCAAATTTGACACTTTCTGTAATCATTAAACCTTTTTACACAAATATGTGCACAGACAAATATACACCTGTTTGAAAATTCTTGGCAAGTGCAAGTCAAATCATGTAAAATGGGCAAGGCTAACACTGAAATTAATGTTCTGACTCTGACACTAATTATCTACTTGTGAAACTGCAAATAAGGAGTTCCTGTTTTTAATGGATAATGGTTAATATTTTAAACAAAGAAATGTGCTTGACTCTCTTTTTTAATGTAATCTCTTGGTTTCTCGCATTTTCCCCCTTTATCTGTTTATTTTATTTTAAATCAAATCTCTTCTTGGTTTCCACCATTTAACATTAAATAACATATTTCCCTCCTTTTATCTGTACCTAATTGCATATTCCAACTTGGAGATCAATTCCCATAATATTTGACTATTTTGCAGCTTAGAATGAATAAATTAATACATAAATACCCAATTTTACTTAGTATAAATCAAGAGAGCTTATGAAATGATGATGAAAAGATATTAAATATATCTTTTAACTACTAGTTTCAACATCTCTCATTTTCTTGCAATTTATTTCATTACTAACACTCAAAATTTTAGTTGTCTCACCTTCCAAAACACAATGATGATCCACATACAGTCATTTATATTCCTAAATTCTTTCTGTCTTAGAATCAGATCAGTATGTTATATCACTTAGCTTACAGAGAGAGAAAAAAATAATAATAAAAATAAAATCAGTCCCATTTCAATACACCTGAAAGTATTGATACTGCTCATTAAAAAAAAGTAGGAAAGTGTTGAAGATGGACTACTGTAAAGGATGATTTCAACACATATGATAGTAGATAACCTGAAGCTGCTGCTCCTCCCATCATTTTTTTGTGCTTGCTACTACTAATCTACAAATAATCTACTGACCTATTACTTGCTACTACTAACCCTCCTTTACATTATCAGACTTGTCTTTCACAAGGAATTACTGATGCACTTTTATCCATGAATTTACAAACATTTTTTTAAGAGATCAAATAATCTTATATATCATGAACACAGCAAAACATTAATACATAGGTGCAATGGAGTTTTTGAGATGTATATGTATATGTAACTTACTACAGAAAGACATATAATTTGACTGAACACTACAGTACTCTCATACACAAAATCTTTAATATAACCCTTAAAGGACGGAAAAGTTCAAAGCTACATATGCCCTCATAATTGAAAAAGTGTTAAAGTGAGATTCAAAATTCTGAAGTAAATGAATGAAGAAATCGACAGGAAAAATTACTTTTACCGACATTCATCTTGTGTATCATTCATACTTGAGTAAAAAAAATTACTTTATATTGTCCTTTAGGGGTTAAAAAATCTGTATCTTTACCTAACTGTGTCTGTATATAATTGCACAATGAATAACTACCATAGTGATCTCTGTTCTCTCATAACTAAAACTTCTAATGTCGTCTAAGGAGGTATATTCTGCCAATATCATCCACTTCATTTTGTGTGTGATTTGAGTAAGTTTCTATTTCTCAACCATTATCTGACAGCCACACGTGCTTTTGGTACATTTTTCATATACTGCAGCTGCTCAGAAAAGACAGCGGACAAATCAGCTCTCATATTTTGCAGCAGTAATCACCTCTCAATGAATGAGACATCACAACTTTTTAAAAAATGAACATCAATATAGCAGTTCAAGCAAATTGTAAATCAGAAACTGACTAACTGAATCCTGACTTCAACTTTGTGTGACATTCTTTATATCTCTATATGTTTCTTTGATTTCTTCAACTGTTAACATTATTTACAAGGTTCTTACTGTGTGGGCAATATCTGTACCAAGACAGTCATAAAGCCACCATCAAGTTGACATATGAGAAATTGTACATACCACAAACAGGCTTTAATAACTTGTCTAAGACGAATGTATTCCAAAAAAAATACAATGTCTGGAAATATAACAGATGTGGTTGACAAAATCTATGGACTATGACATCTATGATCATACAACAAACACAGTGTCACATTGATATAACTTACAGCACACCCCATTTCTTCAGGTCAACTTCATGGCAAAAAAATAGGGGACCATATAAAATTAGTGTTTGAAGAAGTATCAGGCATAAAGATACATTCATGACAACTATGTTAAATGGGCAATTGGATCAGATTCCATGATATGCCAATGCAACAGGGATAGGGGAATGCAAACCCTAGGAAGAGATTCATTAAATCAAAATTTGGCAAATATAAGGCTATTTTCCATCCTTGAAGATAAAATACAAGTAAATCTTGAACACAGGCTAGTGAGATATTTCTTAGTCTAGGTATCAGAGGCTCTCCTTCTACATGAGTTCTGTACTGTTAGCCAACTTGCCACTGTAGGGAAAAAGTAATACAAAATTATTTTTTTCCTGTTAATAATAACATATATTATAGTCATAATACAAGTAAGAAAATAACATATTTGTGTATATGCGGTCATGAGTGTGGGTTTGCGTAGTTTATTAAATGTGAAACTGGTGGTGTGTGAGTGTTGCTTGCAAGTGCAAGTCTAAAGGCAGGTTACTGTAGAAAATCTGCAAATCTACATTGGAGTGTAAGTAAATGCAACTCAAGTAACTGTATGGGAACTAACCCGAAGTCCACCATCGTTGCCTCCTGCCATTTCTTGTTTTCGTTCGATTTCTTCCATTCGCTTTTGTCGTTGTTTGAGTGCTGCTGGGTCTCTAATCCCACGACCTTCCTGAGCCTTAAGGCGGTTTTCTGCAGCTTCAGCCATCTGCCGTCGACGTGTTTCCTGGAAGCAGGATACTTGTTACTGATCAGAGACAGGATATTGAGAGCTAAGGAGGGAGGGAGGGAAGGTGAGAGAAGAGAGAGAGAGAGAGAGAGAGAGAGGAGAGAGAGAGAGAGAGAGAGAGAGAGAGAGAGAGAGAGGAGAGAACAGAGAGAGAGAAGAGAGGAGAGGAGAGAGAGAGAGAGAGAGAGAGAGAAGAGAGAGGGAGAGAGAGAGAGAGGAGAGGAGAGGAAGAGAGAGAGAGAGGAGAGAGAGGAGAGAGAGGGAGAGAAGAGGGAGGGAGGAGAGAAGGAGAGAGAGGAGAGGAGAAGAGGAGAGGAGAGAGAGAGAGAGAGAGAGAGAGGAGAGAGAGGGAGAGGAGAGAGAGAGAGAAGAGGGAGAGAGAGAGAGGAGAGAGAGGAGGAGAGAGTAGAGGGAGAGAGAGGGAGAGGGAGGAGGAGAGGAGAGAGAGGAGAGGGAGGGAGGGGAGAGAGAGAGAAGAGAGAGAGAGAGAGAGAGAGAGAGAGAGACGAGAGAGAGAGGGAGGAGAGGAGGGAGAGAGAGAGGAGAGGAGAGGGAGGAGAGGAGGGAGGGAGGGGAGAGAGAGAGAGAGAGAGAGAGAAGAGAGAGGGAGAGGGAGAGAGGGAGAGGAGAGGAGAGGAGAAGGGAGAGGGAGAGGGAGGAGAGGGAGAGGGAGAGGGACGAGGGAGGAGGAGGGAGGGAGGAGAGAGGGAGGGAGGGAGGGAGGGAGGGAGGGAGAGAGAGGAGAGGAGAGAGAGAGAGAGAGAGAGAGAGAAGAGAGAGAGAGAGAGAGAGAGAGAGAGAGAGAGAGAGAGACGAGAGAGAGAGAGAGAGAGAGAGAGAGGGGGAGGGGGAGAGGGTGGAGGAGAGGGGACTGGGGGAAGGAGGAGAAGAGAGAAAGGGGGGAGAGAGAGCAAGGGAGGGAGAAAGACTGATATAAAGAATTTTTCAAACAGAGATAAAGGGAATGACAAAGGGGAAGATAATTTCAGCTTAATATCAATTTACTTACAGGACCAATCTAAATTTTCCCTTCACAATATCTCCAGATATCAGAAAACTTAAAAGCGTAATATGAAGAAGGATTGTGATTTATTTACTTGTCTGAAGCCACACTTACAGCATCAAGATCACTGTCCATATCATGGTAGCTAGAGGACCCGCCTCCACCGCAGCATGACAAGAAAATGCCCATCCTTAGGCTGCAAAAAACTGACGGAGAATATTCATTTAACAAAAATAGTGTGGTCCCTGGGTAAAATTCTTTAAGTTAAATCATGTTGCCCTTGTAAGATTAAGTCATCCAATTACAAGGAATGTATGGGAAACTGTAGTCAGTATCACTGGAATGGCCAAATATAAAAGGCAGTAATAAAAAACTGCTTATGGTGGATTTTGAGATTCAGTACATAAATACAGTTGCAGATCGTTGTATTGTTTATTACATGGCCATTATTCAATTTTGGTAATGAATAAAGGACTTGAGACAACACCCCCAGGTACAAAGAAGTGCACCCTGCAAAGCTAATAACTGTTACACAGAAAAATAAGAACTCTGGCTATGTGAGGCTGTAGCAGCTGTATCTGTGTTGCTTATCACTCTTATTTCATGTGCTCTATAAGATAGTGGTGTCCATTCTCCTCTATCTCTGTGTCACTCTCAGTAACATTCACCTTACTAATTATTAATCTCCCTCTCAATTTTCTATAATAACAACTAGTTCCTTAGATTTTGATGAAACTCCACAACTCAATAATTGTGATTGGATATTCTTAGCCCTACAGACAGCAGTCATTTGAATTGGCCTTGGCGAATACTGAATATCTAGTGCTTTTTGTAGCTGGGTAGCAAGGCAAGACCAATATATTGTGGTATTTACAATTATATCATTTGTACCTCTGCTACCTTTGATAACCAAAATTAATAACTTTACATGAAATATTTCTGAACCAGAAAATGCCTTTGTTTATATACTAGAAACTTATATGTCTTGTGAAGACATTAATAATATATTACTTAACCAACAAAACGGTAGCAACTTATATCCGGCCTAAACAAATAAAACACTCACATATCTGTGAAGAATGCGACAATACGGCCTTCAACGTTCAACTATAATCAAATATTTTACCTATATTCCTCTTCAGCTGTTGATTTCTAGGAATGTTTTGATGTAAAGGTTTGTTTTGGTGATCAGCTGACGTTCCTTACAATAAATAGCGAACTCTAAGTAAAACATAAAAGAAGGATCGCAAAATTATATTCCACTCGATTTAAAAGAATTTGATAGTATAAAGTAAAGAATCGAGTACTTTGTTCAGCGGATGTTTATGATTTTATACTTTTGCCTTTTGTGAATTTTTGGTCAAATTTGATTAAATATAAATCACAGGCTTAGATTATTAAATAAATCATTAATACATCTTTATTCTAAGGCTTTCATGAATGTGCTTGAATTTTAATCTTATAGGTTTCTAGCTACCAATATACCCATTTGGCAAAATAAAGCTCTTTCAGTCAAGCCGCAATTATAAAGTAAAACATTGGCTCTAACAATCAACTTCATAAGCACAAGCCTCTGAAAGACGATGGTATGCTTAATCTCTAAATAATCAAAAGTTCCTCATTATTTAAGTCCTCATTTGACCTCCTCCGCCGCCATCTTGCCTTCAGTGCCGTAAGATCCGCCGGACAGTGACGACGATGCTCTCCCGACTTGCCCTCCGCTCCGGTAAGCCCTTTTGAATCTTTCGGTAAATTGATAATAGAGAGCCCCTTTTCGAACATTTCTTCTTCGCTTTTGAGAGTCATTTCATCCCTTTTGTGTTTGTGGAGCGGGATATTATGAGGAATTAGCAGACGACGTAGGGATCGTAGGCCGGTTGTGTTCGGCCGGTAGGAGGTTTATTTATTATATAACTTGTTGACCTATTGCTTTTTGTCTATTATGTACATTGTACGACGAAGATTATACACTGAGTTCATTTATTTACCTTCGATTTCAGTAAATACGTTTTATTAGCGTTGTTTTGAGGGGTCAAGTGTCTTCCAACTTGCTGTTTATATTGCAATTCGTAAAGATGTAAGTGCTGTATTTAATTATTCTCATATATGCAACATAGTAATTTTACAGTAGTACTGTCGTCTGGTGTATCGCTCTAGATATATTTGCGACACCTAATTTTTGTCCAGATGGTTTCATTCATTCTGAGCTTTTCAAGTAGGCACAGGGTAGAGGTACGGCAGCTGTATTCGCTTATCCATTTTCTAGAGTACTGGTCACTTAAATAATTACTTACGGTTTATGAGGCCTTTTCCTATTTCCAACCTAACCTAACTTAGTATTTGGGTTGAGATTACGGAGACGGACGCGCGTAGATAGAGAGAAATGGAAGCCACCATGTTATAGAGCGGAAAAAACAGTGGGATGGAACATAGTATAAGTTGCGCTGGACTTATATTTACCGTTAAATGGAAAAAAACAGCACTACGTGCTGCGCAGAGACTAAGTCGAAATCAACCTTCTGCAGCCAGAGTTCTGTGTTTATGTCTACATTTTCTATGCAATCATTTTCTAGGACAATATGTAGTATGAGGTAGTGCCTGAGTTGGGAGATAAAATCTATTTAAATTGATAGACCAGTACAAACCAAGACACTTTTCTTCTATGGCAATATTTGTGCAAATGCTTCCCAAAGGTGATATATGAAAATGAACAGAGGTGAGGGCCTAATTTTGCGCGTCCATCATCTTTTCATGACGAAAGTAAACATTGGACTGGACGCAGAACCGATTACTGCGCTGTTCAGACTAGTGCATGTATTGCTGCGCGATTGTGAAAAGGATATCCGTTCCATATTTATGCTTTCAAAGACCTTTATTGATGTATTTATCCTATTTACGTGTTTTAAGATTGATTATATAGGTTTTAACGGGAACCAGTCTGAAGAACCTTCTGCGCATGCGTATTTTCGAGTTTCTCGCTGCCAGTTTTGACAGGAGGACCTCAATAACTATTGCAGTTCCATTTCTAAGGGCATCAAGTAACCCAAATCCCCAAAAAAGCGATAAAAACGAAGCGAACCACGATCCATGACCGACCGAAAGAAGCGAAGGAAAATTGACAGTTCGGTCTTTTGATATATAAAGGTATTTGGTTTATTGTTTACAGTATGGTTGTAGCTCTATCTTGCCGTACATACCGAGGTGAAGAGAATGTGTCCCGGGGGGTGTTGGGGGGCTTGCCCCCCATCAACCCTCCCCTCGTGCAGTGCCCGAAGAGCACGCCTAGTCACAGCACCGTAAATTGCTTGGTTAGTTTGGTTATGGGTTAGGACTTTTTTTGGTGCTTGAAAGGTGTGAAATCCCGTAGATTTTGCCGAAAGATGCGTTGTATTCCCATAGAGTTTTTCAAATTTTGGCGCCCCAGTGCATAGACTTTCAAAGATGGTGGGCATGTCCGTAGAGTTTCATTAGCCAATTTTTAGTCATTTTTGGGCTAGTTTTTTGTGTTTTGTTCGCTATTATTCTTATTTAAGCCTGTTTTACCCCATAATTTCCCTGATATACTTCATGCCCTCCCCTACTAACGGGACTAACAGATTGTCGATGGAAAGGGTACTCAGATCTCATCAACAAAGCATTTGCACAAGAAACAACATCAAGAATCGTTGAAATCAGTGGATTTCGTGCAGATAAATATCAAAATTATTTCGAAAGTAAGCCCCTACCCTGTTATGCATATATCAATTTTCCTTCGCTTCTTTCGGTCGGTCTATTGTGGATCATGGATCGCTTCGTTTTTATCGCTTTTTTCGGGATTTGGGGTACTTGATGAAAATATAACACGTGGTAGCCGCTCAAATTCTCAGAGTACAGCAACTTGTTCACCTTGCCTGGAATAATAAAACACTAACCGTTTAACACATTATTGTGATGTCTGAAGTAGTTCATGTGTTACTACGCGCTGCTCATTTCAAGCTAGAAAACCAGTGAGAAATGTTGCATTTCCAGTGTTGATTCTGGGTTATTTAGACTTAAATGATTATCCCAGTTTAATATCTGGGCCCATCAGGAGCTCCAATTGCCCCAAAAAAGTGAAGGAAATCAAAGCAATCCACACGGTACAAAGAAGCAACGAAACTTTGATGTTTGCGGATATAAAGGTATTTGGTTTATTATTTTACAGTTTGAATGCAGCTCTATCTTTCCGTACATACCGAGGTGAAAAGTGTGTGTCATAGGGGGTGTTAGGGGGTTAGAGCCCCCTATCAACCAATCTCGCAGGAAGTACCCGAAGAGTATGCCCAGTCATGGCAACATAAATTGTTATATTAGGCTGGTCTGTTGGTTAAAATTTTTTGGGGGGGGTTTGAAATGTGTGAATTCCCGTACTTTGCTGAAAGGTGGACTGGAATCCCATAGTGTTTTCTAATTCTGGCACCTAAGCCAGAATTTCATCTATAGTTTATTTGGCTGATTTTAAGTGTTTTTTGTGCTAGTATTGTGCATTTTTAATCATTATTATCCATGTTTAAGCCTGTTTTACCTCATAATTTCCCTGATATACTTCATGCTCTCCCCTGCTAACGGGACTAACAAATCAAGATCGTTGATGGAGAAATGATACTCGATCTCCTGAACGATTTATTCAAAGAAGAAACAACACCGAGAATTGAAATCATTGGATTTCCTGCAGAAAAACTTTATAGAATATAATATCAGTGGATTCCTTGTGTGCATTTATAGTGTTTTTATCAATGCAAGGCAACAATAGTAACGATACCTGACCTGTCATTTGAAGTATCCTTGGGATGTGGTGGGATAGACTGCAGTATTTATCTGCATCTTTATTGCTAGGGGGCTGGTTACAAAAGCATGTGTGTGACATTGAAAATTATTATGTGAAATATTTAGGGTAATTCTTTACAGTGTAGTTGCCAACTCCACATCACAAAATTTATTAATCAGTCTTAGGTGCTGCAACTGGGCTTGCCCTTTGTGTACTGGCCTAGGGGAGGGTTGATGGGGTTGCTCTGCCCCCCCATCAACTGGATTGATTCTTGTAGATTTTTAACTATCAAATCAAGATCGTTGATGGATGAAAGATGGAACGTATATTTAGTTCGCCCTACAAGGGAGCAGCATGGCGGACAAGGGTGCGACCCTTGCTTTCAAAAGTGTGAACTATGAGCTAGCATTGATACATTGTTATAAAGTATGCTAACTTCCTATATGGATACTAGTGGGAAGAGTAATAAACGGACATGGCTGACTCTTTATTGTCAAGAGTTAACACACGAGTTGAATAGAACATGATACGAGACATAGGTGCTGGTAATACCTGTGGCCTCAAGCCCTAGTGAGGGCACAGCTGCTAGAGGTATCATGTGAACCCCAGACCCTAAACCAAAACTTAATTCCTTCTACTTATTCCATAGACCGGGGTAACAATCCCTCCTGTAACCTCGCTTTGTTAGCATTTCATGCTAAGTTATAGAAAACAAACATTAAGAACTCCGGCTGTGTGAGAAGGTTGTGGACATTGGCTAATCTCTGAACTTTGATATGCAGGGAATCATCATTTCATGGTAAATATGAGGTTGCAGTGGCTTTACCTATGACTCTTATTTCTTATGCTCTTTAACCCATTCACAATTGGTGTCCCATATATGAGACACCCGGAAAAATAAACATTTCTGTGCATCCTGCCAGTGTGACGTTGGATTGCAACCCGTGCTCAGAATATGGCGCGGGCTGCGGCAGGCGTGCGGGCAGATTCTGGACCAGCCCAGCGTGCAGATTTTGTAGCTGCCCAGAAACTATTTTCGGCTTCAAAATGTACCGGCATTAGTGGGTGAAGGTAGCAGCGTCCTTTTCTTTATATCTCTGTGTTGCTCTGGGTAGCATTAACCAATTATTCAAGGCAGTTTTAAATGATTTCTTGTACTGCAAAGATTGTGCGGGCAATGGTTATCTTGGTGTCAGTATAGGATGTACATTGAAATGTGGTTTTGTGGGTGAGGTATGAATCTACCACATGGCTGGTGTCTTCCTTTTTGGGGAGTGTTGTAGTGGATGGGAATTCCCACTTAGACTGGGTGTTGAGGCTGGAGTAGATCTCTACATGGGAGCCAGAGATGCTCCCCATTGATGAAGGACTGGGCAATTCTTGTGTTGCTCCTGTTGGTAGTTGTGCTTTGGTGGA